AATCTGATGAACTCTCAAAATTTTGGTCACACTCGAATGATTAAAGTTTTTACGCTAGCGTAATCGTTTGTCGATCTGGATACTAGGCTTTACTAAGAAGTCTGAGAAAAGTTGTGGAGTCGTTTAAATAATCAGCCGAAAAGTTGTTAAGAAGTTTTAAAGTCTCGCCAAATCCATTGTCAAACTGTTTCAAAATACCTATTATAATCAATTCTGTGTAAACTTAAACCCATAAACATATTAAATAAAACAAGGATAATATCCAATTATCTTACTTATGTATGTATATACTTTATAGGGTGAGAAATGTCTCACTGCGTTGCAACTTTTGACTGAAATTATATTACCCTTTGCAAGGGTATAAAAAACATACAATTTTTATTTCACAATGGATACTTTTCTTAATTTAAGCCTAGTACTCAGATCGACGAAAACTGTGCGCCAGTCATGAGAGAGAGCGAGAGGCAAACAGCTAGCGTTCACTTTTCGTCAAGCCTTTTGTTCACCGCGGTACTCAGATCGTCGAAAAAAATAACAGAAAATTTCATAGCGTTTCCAGTCTGCTGAAATGAACTTTGGGTGAACCGTAGCGAAAAGATTAAAAATTTAATCTTTTGGCGTGCGTTTCTCACTGAACATTTTATAAAATGGAGGGAAAAAATCAAAAAACCCGCAAAAGTCGATTGCAGGAGTTTACATGTTAGGACAAAATAACATTAATACCATCTGGGGTGCCTCTTGTCAGAGCAAAGTGTTTCTTAGGTCAAAAATGTACGAAAAAACACAATAAAAGTGGAGCTATGAACTTTAAATGATCAATTATAGCTATAAATAAAGATCCTGACGAAAAGCGCTTGCCAGCTGTTTAAGCCTAGTACTCAGATCGACGAAAACTGTCTACCAGTCATGATAGAGAGCGAGATGCAAACAGCTGGCGTTCACTTTTCGCCAGTTTTTTTTTTCACCTCGGTACTCAGATCGAAGAAAAAAATAGCAGAAAAATTCATAGCGTTGCCAGTCTGCTGGAATGAACTTTGAGTAAACCGTAGCGAAAAGAATAAAAAATTTAATCACAAAACCCGTAAAAGTCGATTGCAGGAGTTTTCTTGTGAGGGTGTTAATCTTTTGGGGTGCCTCTTGTCAGAGCAATGTGTTTCTTAGGTCAAAAATGTACGAAAAAACATAATAAAAAATAGCCTGTTGGAACTAAGTGCAGCTATGAACTTTAGGTTATCAAATAATTATCAGTAAAGAAAAAAAGAAACAACTGTTAAATTGTATTGTACTCAGATCGACAAACGAGTTCGCTAGCGGAAAAACTTTAATGTTTCCAGTGTGACCAAAATCTAAGGAGTTCATCCGAACTGAGTATACTACGGTCTTACTGTCAATCAGCTGGGTTTGTTGACAAGCAGAAAACCAAACAAGTTTAAATTAAACGAAAATGTCGAGTTCAAAGGACACAAGCGTGAAATTGGTTGTCGGCTTGGCGGCATGAAATGTGGCAATAGAGGAAGAGCCCATATCTGCATTAGACTTCTGCATGAATGTACTCATTTGTAGCATAACAGATCTGTACAGTAGTATGGTGTTCTTAAAAATACTGCACTCATTCTTTACTGTAAAGTATACTCTATAGGCCAGAAGAAGATAGCACAACATTTTCAGTGTACTCACTTCGCGTGAGTGCAGTATATGGTTGTACTCTTCGTGAGTGAGTACTACATTTGTCCTTTTTTAAACACGCTGTACAGCTGTCGAGTTGACTGAGTACAACTGTGCAGATGAGTGCAGTATTTTTGAACAAGTGCATAAACATGGATTTTAAGGAAAACAACGCTCGTGCAATGAACTCACTAGATAATGTAAGTTTTTGTCATAATATATATGTTTTGTAACAAAGTATAAGTGTTGTTTTATATGTTTGTAATTGTCTTTTATATGTTGAAGGTTATTTAGTGCCAGAGACCCAGGCAAAAACAGTGATTGTTAAATATATGTATGTATTTATATGTTCATTTGTAGTATAAATTTTGTTCACATGTATGTATATTAAAACAAAATTGTTTGCTATCAGACGCTGGTCACAACAACCGAATCGTCCTTTAAGCCTAGTATCCAGATCGACAAACGATTACGCCAGCGTAAAAACTTTAATCTTTCGAGTGTGACCAAAATTTTGAGAGTTCATCAGATTTAAGCGTGCTACGGTCGTACTGTCAATCAGCTGGGTTTGTTGACAAGCAGTTAAAATTCAAATATCGTATTTGCGGGAAAGAGCTTTTAAAATATATTATCAAATACCTTGGCAAGACAAGTCTGCCGCTGTACAAAGAAATTGAAAAACAATACAATTTAAATTTAACAGTTGTTTTTTTTAATTTACCGATAATTATTGGCTAATTTAAAGTTCATAGCTACACTTTTATTGTGTTTTTTCGTACATTCTGGACCTAAAAAACATTTTGCTCTGACAAGAGGCACCCCAGATAGTATTAATGTTATTTTGTCCTCACATGTAAACACCTGCAATCGACTTTTGTGAGTTTTTTGAGTTTTTCCCTCCATTTCTTATAATGTTCAGTGAGAAGCGCACGCCAAAAGATTAAATTTTTAATCTTTTCGCTAGGGTTCACCCAAAACTCATTTCCGCAGACTGGCAACGCTATGGAATTTTCTGGTATTTTTTTCGTCGATCAGGGGACCGACGTGAAAAAAAGGCCCGACAAAAAGTGAGCGCCAGCTGTTTGCCTCTCGCTCTGTCTCATGACTGGCGTACGGTTTTCGTCGATCTGGATACTAGGCTTTAAAGAGTACGCTGCCACAATGAAATCGAAATTATAAGCTGGTGAGCTTAAGCCTACTCATTCACGTGGTCGGAGCAAAGTGTGGGACACCTTTTTACGGCTGGCAACGGCAAACGGCATAGTGACGACTGATGCAGTAGAGTGCAACATATGCAAAAGTATTTATAAATTTGAGAAAAGCACATCGAATTTGGTGAAACACAAATGCTATATTATGGCCAATAGCCGAAAGCGCAGTCTTCCAGTCGTAGATGTACCCTCAGAAACCAAAAAAAACAAGAAAGGAAAGCTAACTTCGGGCGGAGCCGAAGTTGATATACCCTTGCAGAATACTCTGTAAATTATATTCTCCAAAATTATTCATATGATGCATTCTTAATACTCATCAAAAATCCCAACTTCCTAACTTTAAAACAAGAGAGAACGCTATAGTCGGGTGCCCCGAATATCAGATACCCGTTACACAGGTAAAGGGAGTGCGAGGGAGATGGAGATAGAAACTTTGATCACGCATAACTTTTTATCGAATGGTCCGATTTGAAAAATTTCTTCTACATTTCGATAGGTATTGATAAACACAATAAAACTGCATTTTTACTTTTCCCAAATATTTAAATTTTTAAAATCGTATATAAGCGATTGTGGGCGTTTAAGGGGGCGTGGCACCTTTTTGAAACAAACTTGCGCTGCGTAGGAACTCCTAGAATCTGCATGCAAAATGCCAATCTTCTAGCTTTTATAGTTTCCGAGATCTCAGCGTTCATACGGACGGACAGACAGACGGACAGACGGACATGGCTATATCGACTCGGCTAGTGACCCTGATCAAGAATATATATACTTTATAGGGTCGGAAACGCTTCCTTCTAGCTGTTACATACTTTTGCACGAATACAATATACCCTTTTACTCTACGAGTAACGGGTATAAACACCAAAGTTATGGCATTTCCAATCGTTCAGTTATATGGCAGCTATAGGATATAGTCGGCAGATCCTTATGAAATTTGATAGGTCGGATTGATTGGCTAAAAATAAAACCCATAGAAAATCCCAACTTCCTAACTTAACAAACACCAAAGTTATGGCATTTCCGATCGTTCAGTTATATGACAGCTATAGGATATAGTCGTCCGATCCCGGCCGTTCCGACTTATATACTGCGTGCAAAGGAAAGAAGGGTGTGTGCAAAGTTTCAATTCGATATTTTTAAAACTGAGAGACTAGTTCGCGTAGAAACAGACAGACGGACAGACGGACATGGCTATATCAACTCAGGAGGTGATCCTGATCAAGAATATATATACTTTATAGGGTCGGAGATGTCTCCTTCACTGCGTTGCACACTTTTGACCAAAATTACAATACCCTCTGCAAGGGTATACAAATGCACCAATCTGGCAACGGAGTGGACAATAAAGAATGGTAGACCGTTTAATCTAAAGCCTTGTATCCAGATCGACAAACGAGTATGATAGCGTAAAAACTTTAATCATTCGAGTGTGACCAAAATTTTGAGAGTTCATCAGAATTATGCGTGCTACGGTCGTACTGTCAGTCAGCTGGGTTTGTTGACAAGCAGTTAAAATTCAAATATGGTATTTGCGGGAAAGAGCCTTTAAAAGATATTATCAAGGTAGTTGGCAAGACAAGTCTGCCGTTGTACAAAGAAATTAAAAAACAATACAATTTAAATTTAACAATTGTTTTTTTTTAATTTACTGATAATTATTTGCTAATTTAAAGTTCTTAACTGCACTTTTATTGTGTTTTTTCGTACATTTTTGGCCTAAGAAACACTTTTCTTTGACAAGAGGCACCCCAGATAGTATTAATATTACTTTGTCGTCACATGTAATCTCCTGCAATCGACTTTTGCGGGTTTTTTGATTTTTTCCGTCCATTTTATAAAATGTTCAGTGAGAAACGCACGCCAAAAGATTAAATTTTTTATTCTTTTCACCCAAAGTTAATTTCAACAGACTGGCAACGCTTTGAAATTTTCTGGTATTTTTTTCGTCGATCTGAGTACCGACGTGAAAAAAAGGCCCGAAGAAAAGTGAACGCCAGCTGTTTGCCTCTCGCTCTCTCTCATGACTGGCGCACAGTTTTCGTCGATCTGAGTACTAGGCTTAAAAAGTTTAATCTTTTGGCGTGCGGTTCTCACTGAATATTTAAAAAAATGGAGGAAAAATGAAAAAACGCGCAAAAGTCGGTTGCAGGAGTTTAATTGTGAGGACAAAATTACATTAATACGATGTCGTGGAGTTGTGGGATTTATCAAATGAAAAGCATTTTAATGCAACCTTTATAAAAAGAGCGTGGGGGGAAATGGATAAAGATAGTAAGTCTTGTACATTATTAAATATTTGTTAACGAGGACATATACAATATTTATGTTTAGATTACAGTTGCAGGCTGGCGTGGAAGTCGCTGCGGGACAGGTATAAATACCACCTGAATTGCAAGCGACCGAAGAGTGAAAGTGCTGGAGGTGTACCACTGGAGAAGCCAACGGGTGTTGCAGATTTCGCCCCCTACATGTCCTTACTGCCGGACTTATTGACGCAGAGGCAGTAGGTTCGGGCCAAGAATTTAGTAACATTATACAAATATAATATTTTTTAACAGAACAACCCGATCTTGCTTTTCTAAAAGCGAAGGAGCACATGCGATTGAAGTTAGCTATTTGGAAGCGGAAGCGGAGCTGGAGGTCGGGCTGTCTGAGCTGCCCGAGGAATTGTATTCCTACGTAAGTTGTCCAATTTCCATTAAATAATATAATTTTCATAAAATATATCTATATTTTCAAAGGGTGGAGGAAGAAAAAACCGCGAAGAAGCGAAAGGTGCAGGAATCACCAGCAACAAAAATATATATAAATATATATAAAACTTCCTGGAGCAACAACAAATCCTACTCCTCCTACTCCTTAACCACTGCAGTGTGGCCCAGGACCTTCTCACCCAAACAATTTCCGAGCTCAAAATAGACCTGGCAATTCTGAGCGAACCATACAAAGCAATTAGATCCAACACGTGGGCCACGGATCAATTGGGAAAAGCAGCAATCTGGACATGTGGGCAACCGGCCCAACATATAGCATGCGTGAAAGCAGCAAAAGGCTACGTAAGGGCGAAGCTAAAAGACCTTTGGGTTTTTAGCTGCTACTTTCCACCCAGCTGGACACTAGAGGAGTTTAGCGAGACGATAGACAGCCTGGCAAACGACATAAGAGCACACTCGCCTGCGATTGATGCTGGGGACTTCAATGCGTGGTCAACGGAGTGGGAGTCAGCCTCAACAAACGCCTGAGGAAGATGCTGGACGTAGTCCTTCAAAACACGGGTTCCACCCCTACATTTAGGAGAGCGGGAGTCCATAATCGACCTCACCTACGTAAGCGCAAGCTCGGCGGCGACGGCGACCTGGGAAATTAGCGAGACCTACACGGTGAGCGACCATAATGCAATTATAAGCACCATCCAAACGCGAAGAACCGCCACACCGACAATTACTCGAGGACACTACAAAGAAAATACGATTGACATACCAGCATTTAGAGCGGCCCTGGAAGGGATGGAATTGGCGGACAACGAACGGGCATTGATGGACAAGGTCAAAGAAGCCTGCGTCGCCAGCATGCAGCGCAGTAAAAGCTTCAAGGGGCGCAAGCCAGTCTACTGGTGGAACCAAGCGATTGAGGAGGCACGCCGTGAATGCATAAGCGCTAGGAGAGCCTACCATAGGGCCCGCGGAACCAAAGCTTTCCATATACTTAGGGAAGTTTTCACCCAAAAGAGGAAGATCCTAAAGCGAGAAATTAAAAGCAGCAAAAAGCTGTGCTTCCTGCAACTTTGCGATGAAGCAGAAAACGACTTGTGGTGAAGGGCCTACAAGGTGGTCATGAAAAAAACCAACGCCGTTAAAAACGTGACCCCATAAGATTCTGAGAAACTGGGAGAGATAATAAGGCACCTAACGAGAGGCCCTAAACAGGCCAGCCTTGCGAAGCAATGCTTCACGGCAGTCCCGCAAGTCTGGATATCATATGTATATTTATTTTTGTCAATGTATGTAATTTATGAATAAAAAAATAAAAAAAAGGCCCATATTTACATACTGGGAATCAATACTAAATACTTTTTTTTCCGGAACGTGCTGCTGAAGTCGAGGAGAAGATGACGAAGCTTCTGTGGGATAAGAAAGACGCTAGCAAATAATCGGTTAAAAAAAATTTAATCATGGCAATATTTATTTTTTTTAAGATTTAGTTTTTAATAACGGGATAGAAGTGGAAATGCAAATTAGATGATAAAGGTTGTTATAATTATTACATAGAACGCGAAAGGGCTCGTGCAGACAAAAATTTGATGAACATCGTGGCAAATTTAGGAGATATAATTTCGTGTTAGTCTAACAGGAACATTGAAAGTTAGGCGGTTTACAAGTTCTGCAGAATCAATATCACCTCTAATAAGATTTTGCATAAAAATAGTACCAAGCATTTTTCTACGATTTACAAGGGTAGGTAAATTAAGCAACAGTAATCTACTCTGGTAGGAAGGTAGCCTTACGTTTTGATCCCAGTTCAAACTACGAAGGGCAAAAAGAAGAAATTTTTTTTGTACCGACTCAATACGGTCAATGTGCACTTGATATTGTGGACTCCAAACCGACGAACAATTTTCCAAAATAGGACGGACAAGGGAGGTAAATAATAATTTGGTCGTATAAGGCTCATCAAATTCTTTTGACCAACGCTTTATAAAGCCAAGAACACTCATGGCTTTATTAACAGTGGACATTATGTGGCAGTCAAATTTAAGTTTAGGGTCCAGAAGAACACCCAAATCGTTAACTGAATATATACGGTCGAGTGACGTATTTTCAAGAAAATAACTAATAAACGTAGGAGTCCCCTATAAAAAGTCATAACGTTGCATTTAAGGTAGTTCAACTTTAAAAGGTTGTACTCACACCATTCATGAAAACAATCAATATCTGACTGTAAGTTAAATCCCGACGCTATATCATTATATGATAAACAAAGCTTAACATCATCAGCATACATTAGTACACGAGAATGTGTTATGATAGAGGGAAGATCGTTGATAAACAAAGTAAAGAGCAAAGGGCCCAGATGACTTCCCTGAGGGACTCCAGATGTCACGTAGATCAATTTTGAAACAGCATTCTTGAATATAACCCTCTGAGTCCTACCATTCAAGTAACTTAAAATCCAAGTTAATAGATTACCAGGAAACCCAAGCAGATCTAATTTGAATAAGAGAAGAGAGTGGTTGACGGAGTCAAAGGCCTTACTAAAATCTGTATATATAACGTCAGTCTGCATTTTTTTCTGAAATCCATTTATTACAATAGATGACAATTCAAGAAGGTTGGTGGTGGTCGATCTTCGCTTAACAAAACCATGCTGACACGGTGATATAAGCGAGGAACATAAATGTTCCTTTAGGAATTCCTGACAATTTGGAAATACCTCTATAATTCTTGGCATCAGCCTTCGCACCCTTTTTATGAAGTGGAATAATAAAAGAGTCCTTCCAGATAGTAGGAAAAACTGATGATGAAATAGACAAATTAAAAAGTTTAAGAATCGGTTTACAAATGGTTGACGCACAAAACTTGAGAACACATCCAGGAAGTCCATCTGGACCGGGAGAATAAGTCGGCGTTGTTGTTTCTAAATCTATTAAGAGAGAGTTTTCAGTAATTAAAGGGGTAAAAATACAATTTGCCCTATTTAAGGGATTTGACCAAGCTGTCGAACTATAAGTGGTTTGAAAAAACTCAGCAAATAAATCAGCAATGTCAGTCTCCGTCGATGCCTCCGTTGAGTTTAGACGTACCGATGAAGGCAATGCCGATGACTTACGCTTGGCATTAACAAAGTTGAAAAACTGTTTCGGATCATTTGAAAATTCAAATTTACATCGATTTAGATACGTAGAATAGCAATGACTGTTGAGAACATTAAAATCCGATCGAGCCACTACATATTTCGAAAAATCTGATGGCTTACCCGATTTTGTATACTTTTTATAAGTATTGATTTAAGGTTTTTAAGTCTTTGAAGCGCATTGGTAAACCAAGGAGGCCTGTTTAGGTTTAAAGGAAACCTATCAGGAACGCATTCATTAAAAAAAGAACTCCACCTATGTTAAAACCAATGAACTTTGGCAACTCACAATTGCCAAAGCTTCACTGATCGTAACATTGGGGAGTTTCTGACGCTCTGCTTCCATCCCCGTAGATAGCTGATGAGTCTGAGGTGACGTGGTCTCTGTTAGAAAGAAGGGATAGTACGGATTTTATAAATTAAATTACTAGATTAGAGCCAGGTGGAATATAAGAACATGTAACAAAAATAGATAAAGATTGCAAGGAAACTTTCACACTTACAAATTCAATTTCGTTTGGGATATGAGTGAGAATTCTTTCGGATGTTAGGCTAGATGTAACGGCAATCTGTACACCGCCCCCCCTCCGTGAGGGGCGATCGTTCCTATAAGTATTAAAGTTATTTGACAGAACTTCAGAGTCAGATATTTCTGGTTTTAGCCAAGTTTCCGTAAAAGCCAAAATATCTTCGGTGAATGCAGAGGAGTCGGCATAAAGCTTGTGTAGCTTCATATTTAGTCCCCTAACATTTTGATACGCCAAGATAAACTTTTTAGTTTTTTGGCACAGTGGAAGGCCTGTTTTTGTTCTCGGTTTATTTAGAACAAATTCTTTAATTACTAAATCATCATTAAGCCAAAAGCTTTCAGAAAGTAACACATTAAACACATCAGGTGGAGCAAATATTTTAAAAGACGATATCCTACGAGCGAATGAAAATCGAAATTGTTCAATTTGTTTGAATTTCTTTGTACACCGGCAGACTCGTCTTGCCAAGGTACTTGAGAGTACTTGAGAGTTCTTTTAGGTTGTTTCGAACCTCCTTACTGAAGTCCTGTGAGTGACCTCGTCCGCAGGGTCTCAAGTCGGTCAGGACGGTGCTTGGTATCTTCTGCATCGCGTAAATTGCTGGACTCTCCCGCATCAAAAAATGTTGCAACGCTTAACAGACTACAATAATTTTTTTAGCTTTGCATGGATTGCTTAACAAAGTTCGTTGTACAGCCATCCACCTAGCACTGAGAATTCCAAATGCGTTCTTAATGCAACGACGTTCACGACTTAGCCTGTAGTTAAAAATGCATCATCACCAACAATGTAATCCGGGGTTCGATGGCCGTTTATCACATTGTCCTCCGGAAAGGGCAGCTGGTCTAAGAGCAACTATTCACCAACATCGTTGTGGGAGAAGGCATTCATGTCTCCCTCACTACCAAAAGCCTCCACATCAATGTAGGTGAAGCTATGAGTGTCGCAGATTGCCATAAGCACAACCCAATGAAAGCCTTACATTACAAACGATTTTGTTATTAAATTCTATTGCCATTTAAAAAGTACTTATAGTTGTAACGAGGACGGAAGCTAACTTCGGCAAGCCGAAGTTTTAATACCTTTGCAGACTTTGCCGAAATTGCTCAAATTAAAAAAAAAGCAAAAGGAATAAGGTATACAGAAATAAACTAGATTTGCATAGTTTCATGGCAAATGCTTTTATACTGCAAGAATGTTATATAAAAATAGAAAAAAAAGGATATTTCCGCAGCCTTTAACAATTTTTCCTACAGAAACTATAAGAAATACCGTCCGATCGGCAAGCGCTTTTTCCCTGATCAAGATATGCGTAAATAAATAAGACTTGGAAAAATGTATGTCAATAGCTTACACATTGCACGAAATATTCCGAAAATCATCTAATTTGGACCGATTTCACCCTATTGTTCCCATGGGAGCTATAGGATATAGACGTCCGATCGGCACGCGCTTTAACCCTGATCAACGTATTCATAAAAAAATAAGATTTGGAAAGATTTATGTCATTAGCTTTTATACTGCGCGAAATATCTTCCATTCTTGCAAGTTATATCCGATTGTTCCTAGGTGAGCTATAGGATATAGCCCCATCCGGGGCGGTTTTTAAACTTGATCTGCGTACACATGTTTTAGGACGACTGTGAAAGTTTTAGATCGCTAGCTTTTAAACTGAGCTCACAAACGGTATTGAAACAGAGGGACAGACGGACGGACGGACAGACGGACAGAAGGACAGGCGGACAGATGGACATGGCTATATCGACTCCCCTATTGATCCTGATCAAGAATATATATACTTTATGGGGTCGGAAACGTCTCCTTCACTGCGTTACAAACTTCTGACCAAAATTATAATACCCTCTGCAAGGGTATAAAAAAGGGTTCCGCTATTCGGCGGAGCTCTTATAGCCACATGCTTTCCGTCGACTGCTCCAATACAATTTGGAAAGTTCCATTAGCCTTCGTCCACTTGGGGAATTCATCCCGCATAGCAGTCCAAATGGCGTTGCAGGTCTCCAGAAGCAAGAAATCTAAATAAAAGGATACAAAATATAAATATATTGTTATTACATTAAATATTTAAAATCTAATTACTCTAAAACAATGGCCAACTTGGCTTTTATTGGTATAGCATCTGGGCGAGTGTTCTGTTTCAGTACAAGGTACTGCTCCACCATTCCAAAAAGAGTGTTAAAAATCTTCTCAGGCATATGAAAGTTTTCAAAAAACATTGAGGGAGTCTGCAACAAGTTTTAAAACTTTAAAATAAAAAGAAAATATTTTTTGGTGTACGAATATTAATATATTATTGTACAGTATTACTTAATGCAGATTAGACTTCTGCATGAATGCATCCAAAACGACAAATGAATCACTTAGTCTAGAAGTGGGCACACTTTTTTTTCTGCACAGTATATTTGGGTGTGAGTGAGTAGGGTAGTATTGTCTGTTTTGGATGACAGTGTTCTGACTCATTCCATAGTTGTACAGCTGTTGATGAGTACAGCAAAATTGGTGTGCAGTAGTCAACGCACTGTACAGTGTTTTGGTGTACAGTTGACATACTGTACAGTGAGTGAAATTTCATGTGGTACATACACACATATATAGTTATCGTGTGTATGTATGGCAACAGAAAACGCCCTTTCCGATGCTGCACTGCTCGCGGGAGCTGCTAG